GAGTGTTCGAGGTGCGGTGCCCGCAACAAGATCGTCCAGGAGAAAGTACTCCTCAACAAAAGGCTCAAAAGAGCCTTGCCCTTCCAGGTCACAGGACGTGAGAAAGATGTTCGCATGAGCGCATGGTTGCACGGAAAAGAACCGTGAAAAACACATACATACATACATACATACATACATACATACATACATACATACATATGTATATATACGTAAACAGATAAAGATAGACACAGACATAGACATAGACATAGATATGTTTGTAGATCACGTTTGCTTGGAATTGAGGCATGCGGCATCGGCCCCACAAACAGAAAGGAGGTGGAGACTCATGACCTGTGTGAACAAGATCTGTCATTCTGTGATGCTCCAACCTTTGCTGCAATTAAACACTTGGGGCAAATTGGGAGCCCCCTGAAGGGGGTGCTTCGAAGCTTGAAACCCAGTGTCCCAAAAAGATTTAATCTGGACTCCCACATCTAATGCCTGTCCCACGATGTTGAGACCCCAATCACCACACGCAAGTATGTCCTGGGAGGACTGTGACAAGTATGGCCTGGTTCATCGATATCAACATGAAATCAAGGTCGATCTCAAGGATGATCTTTACGTCGCAGGCAGGGCCATGTGACATGTGTCGAGGATCACATCTTTCCCATATGGAGAACGCAAAGACACGAATGCCTGGAGGATGGGCTTGGAGCTAGAGGATGGGTTCGTGTTTGCTCGGAGTTTATTCCCAGTAGAGATTTTCGGTTGCCAACCAAGATCATCTAGTCATGCGTTGTAGCACTGTTTGGACCGGGGTTGAGCAAAATCTGCAGCCGCTACATGAACTGCTCGAAACAAAACGCACAAAGTGTTCCAGGCTATGATCCAGACTTCAAGGCGTGTCTAAACAGATCAACAGTACTGGATATCTATCATCCATGGCAAGCTGTGCTATTTATAGCTATTTATTTCTTTTTCGGTTTTGACTGCCGCGCGGGACCCCAAATCCATCGATTGGATTTTGATTCGATCTGCATGATGTTCTGATTATTTTTGATTCGTTGATTTGTTCAACTGCTTGTCGCAACCGCACCAATTGAACCGTTGCAACTTGATCCGGCAGTCAGTTGGGAAAAAGCTCAGTATCCCCTTCCATGAGTCAGGTTTGGAGAGAATCAGCACGCAGTTCGAGAGTCAGCAAGTAGGTTGTTCCTTGCCTTGCAGCTTCGAAGATCTATTCTCTGGTTTTCCATGCTGCCGAAAACCAAGATCCTGTTCTCCCCGAGCCGCCCGCGCGTCCTGGTGAGGCAAAGTGATGTATGTCTACAAGCTGGGGTATCCCAAAGGTCAAGACCCAATCACCTACAAGGCTGTGACGAAGGATGCTTGGTTTTCACTCCCTGAAACAATCATGGAAGTGGAAAATAGGCCCCTGGAAGACCATATTCCTCTACAAACAGGTGGTTTTCCACTTCGATGATTAATGACTCGCAGGGTCACGTTGATGGGCAGAAGCATGACTTCGCCTGCCCGCCCGTGCGTTTGGAACATCCTACCACAGTGAAAACGCTTTGGTTTGTGAACCCTGAAAAACAATCCGGGGACGACACAGAGAGAGTGGAGGGCACACACCCTTGGTAAGACCTCCAATCAATTGTCCCGAACAAAGTCCTATTCTGCAACTCTCCATTCTTCTGAAACTTTTCTTCCCCAACTATTTAGTACTCTTCTACACGTACTCTTCAGGAAGTATTTTGCGCTCTTCAGAAACTATTTCGCGATCTTCAGAAGCTATTTCGTGATCTTCAGAAACTATTTCGCGATCTCCGGAAACTATTCCTCATTCTTCAGAAACTATTTTACGATCTTCAGAAACTATTTTGCGATCTCCAGAAACTATACCTCATTCTTCAGAAACTATTTTGCGATCTTCAGACACTATTTGGGGATCTTCAAGAACTATTTCGCGATCTTCAGAAGCTCATTGGCATGCTTCAGAAAGTATTCTTGAGAACTTGTAGCCAAATTCCATGAAGGAGCACTGGGTGGGTAGGCTGAGGGGGGTGGGTGGTTGAGTTATTGACGTACCTTGTGACGGCTACGCCATTTTGCGATCTGCAAAAACATCTTCGTGTAGGTTTGATGTTGCTCTTCGACTCTTCGTAGTTTCCGAACATTAGTTTCTGAAGAAAACCATCAAGCTTCTGAAGATTAGTATCGGAAACACAGTTTCCGAAGAAACCCTTAAAGTTTCCGAAGATCACCTTTAATAGTTTCCACAGAACACTGTCCGAAGAAAACCGGAAAGTTTCCGAAGAAAGCCGTTTAGTTTCTGAAAAACCTGTCCGAAGAAAACCGTAAAGTGTCCCCGAATAAAACTTCGACCCAATTGTCCCAAGACGCATGAAATCACACCCGAGGTGAAGGAACATTTTGTTTCATTGAAAGGATGTCAGATTCTAGAGCCCACCAGAGTCGGGCGAGCAAACGTGGTCTTTGACCAGTGACCCCCCCGCGAATCTTCCGAGGACGGCACCATGGCACGCTTGCGGTGCGCCTCCTTCTCTCGTGTTTCGGCCAAGAGAGGGGTCCGACTGAGCGGATAGTTCAGATGGTCGCAGATGGATGCGCATTTGAGATGCAGCATTTGGGAGAAGACCTCCTTCAAGGGCCAACTTTGATTCTTTTGCCCTTCCCAAGAATACTCTGCCAACTTTTGAGGATACCCATTCCTGTGCTCCATCCATGTACATTCTCAGTTGTACTATGATACGCCGATGAGAATTGGCACTGGCCTCTCTCCTAGTGGTTTTGTACTCACTGCCCTTTTTTCGCCATCGCATGCAGTGGGAATAGCCCTTGAATATTGGCCAAATTCAGCCGGCATCGTTAATTCACACTATGCTGGGCTAGGAAACAGTTTCTGTCCCCATGGTTTGGAGTTGGTGCAGAGCTGTTCATCAACAGAAAGGGGAAAGCCGGGAAAGCGTGTCCTGAAACTGATCAAGTTGAACTTGTGCAGGTACTTGAGCCTTTTTGTTGCAAGTGAATCAAATCACCTGGAAACAGTGACCACCTCGAAACGGTTTTCAAGAACGAGACAGCCCAAAGCAAATCGGCACACGGTGCATTCCAGACGTTCGAGCTGAAGAAGAGTCACTGCGATCGTTCCCATTCACTGCGATGGTTCATAAAACACGGTGAATCGTTCCTGGCCATCGGACAGTGTTTTCTCCACGTGTTTTTGTGCCACTCCTCATGAAAGCCTCATGGCAATGCCACTCCGAAGTCCAGTGGAGTGCCCAGCAACCCTGCGTCCTCATCTTGGTACCTGCTTGGGACGATGCACAAGCCATGAGGCTCATCTTTGACGGACCATCTGTGCAACCACTACACTGCTTGCACTGGAGAGGCACTGCAGACTCTCAGTACTTCAAGCTTTGCAAGTGAAAATGAACGCATTCGCTGAGCCGAGCTGAAAACAGAGCAGACTATATGGAGTTCTTCCAAAGAATAAAGTCCTTTTTGCATTAAACATGGTGATTTGGCTTGGGCTTTGGATGGCATTGGGTCTTCCTTAACCATTTCAATGAAGTGGGGCTTTTAGAGTTGACCAGACAGCCGACTACTTCCAATCTAACATAGCTGCGCAGAAGGGTTTGAGAGCTTTCCTTTGAGGTCGCTTGTGTTTCTTTGGGGCTCTTAGGAAGGCAGAAGGACGGCGAGACAATCGCATTCCCACAGGTGGCGGCGCAGCTTAGTGGGACTTCCCCAGAGCACTTTAAGCCCTGGTTGGAGGAGCGTGGTCATAGATTGGGCTGAAATGTCTTCAAACTCTCGACACGGATCTCTACTAGGTCACAGGGCAGCTGTCGTTTATCTTTTTTTTGGGGGGAGTACTTTAAGACACACCAGATGTTAGTTGATAGACCTGCAACAGTCTCTTGAAGCTTTGCCAAGTATTCTTGAAGAGATCGCTTGGACACATGCTTTCACTCTTTGTGGTGCAGGCTACAACAATTATGACACGAAGAAATGTCTTGCTTTTGCTACTTTGCAATCACAACAGAGCCAAAGAAGCACTCTTCTGACGAGACTTCAGCATCTCATCTTGAACAGGAGACATTCTCTGGCCAGCCAATTGGGACATCCGACTGCACGAAGTTTTGTGAGGACCGAGAAAACACCGAGTCAGGAGGGCCAAGGCGGCCAAGGTGTTGGTTTGTGATTCTTTGTGTGTGTCCAACCGGTCGAATCTTTTCCAAGGCAGACCGCTTGTGTTAGCGAGTCCATGCGAGTCCTGCGTTGGCCATGTCCAGATCCCTACTGAGACCCCCACTCAGACACCCTTTTTCCACCTTTCACTTTGGGGAGCCCTGCGGAGCACTGAAGCCCTGTTCAGCCAGGACATACGTTTCTCGTGTGCCATTCAGCCGTCCAAGCCGGCCATAGGCTGCCCTGTAACGCTCCCAACGTTGCTCAAGCCAACGACTGTGCGATAGCCAAAATGCTCGAATCGTTGCGAAGGATTGACGAAGAGGGCGTGGCTTTGGCGTGGATGTTTCTCAACAGGTTGACAGCGCGATTGGGTACCCGAGCTGGACATCTTGAGTGTTTCCTTAATAAGCTGAGCCATGAAAATCCCAGCATCATCCTTTGGATTTTTCACAGAAAGACTAGCCATGGGTGGATCATCTCTGCCACATTCTGGCCGCACTGTCGGTGGCTCACAGATTAGGCACGGCAAATGTTCTGAGAGGACAACGCTCAGTGACCGAAGAATAATCCATCAACCCAACCACCGGTGAATTGTGGAGGGGGGCATTTGTCCTGTACACGCAGTGAAAGATAGTGAAACCATTGGAACACCCATGAAGCCCATCCATCATTGCTAAAAATGATCAATCTCCTTCGCAGGGAGGGTTTTCCCTGGTCAATTAGCCAACTGGAGTCAACTTCAGAATTCTGTGCAACTGGATTCAACTTGGGCTCAAAACCGCTCAACTCGGGCTCCGAGAGTCGGAGATCGAAGCACTTGCAGACCAGCGATCCCAGCCATCCCCATCGCGCGCGGACACTGCACCGATGGCATGGAGGGAGCTCGGGAGCCCCAAAGGAGGGAGCGCGCAGAGCCGCGCTGGTCGCAAAGGTTTGGTCGCATCCCCAGGTCCTGTGAACCTTTTCGCAAAGGGAGAAATGATGAGAAATGGAAACCGGAACCCTGGTCACCACTGGTCACCACTGGTCACCACTGGTCACCATGGTGCGCAAGACCATGCGCAAGACCAACACCACGCAAACGAGTTTTTGCACGGTCACGACCTTGCGAGTCCCTCACGACGTGCACGGCGATGGATCATTATTTTTTGAGCGATCGGAGTCCATTCTGAGGATGGATGTTTGATGAGTATATATGATGATTTGTTTCTCACGTGAGCAACCACTTTTATTTAGGCTTTACTAAAGTAGTCTACGGCATGCTCTATTGCTTGTCTATCATCAGTATTCGCTTGTGAACGAGATACGGCCCCCACATAAATGAGATACGTTTGCTTGATGGCGCTAAAGTAGTCTGAACGAGATAGTGTGATTTGCTACTAAAGCAGTCTGAACACGTCTGAACGAGATACTTGACATGACCTCCAACTTAATCAGTGTCTAAACGAGATAGGGCCCCACACAATAGATAGTGTGTTTGAGTTTAGTACCAAATGAATGCCGCCGCACACGTGAGAAAAGAATCATTTTTTACTCAATCCACACCCTGCGAAGGTTTGTCAAACATGTGGACCCACCCATGTCTTTCTTTTTCAAAGTCCTTCGTTTTTAAAGTGAGTCTGAGGCCTTCAAGGACCCCTAGAAAGGCCCCACGTTTTGCCGGGTCTTTCTTCACTACTGGTACCCCGGACACAAGTGCACAATAGCACACACACGTATATTACAGTGTCTATTGTGGTTGTGGATCAACAGACAGGACCTATGAAATGACAGTGTTGGCCCGTTTTTCCGAGAGATCCAGACTCTTCGCCAACAGCTGTTCAACTGATGCACGCACGAACATGGGCTTTTTATAGGCACATAATCAGAGGATCCTTGTGCCGCGCTGTTGGTCCAGTACCTATAAAAAGCTAGGGCGCAGCGAGTGTAGCGGTTTTGCGAGGGATGTTCGAAGCCTTCGCGGTTGCTGGTGTGATTCTGCGTGGACGTCCAGCATCACAGTACGTTTGAGGTGAAGGAACTACCTCAAGTGGATGGAAGAAGACTAGTGACCACACGACATCCATGTACCCTCGGTCATGTCAACACTTCCTTCTTGTGCGTGCCATAAAGACCATCCATCCGTCCGTCCATCCATCATCACTCTTTGACCACCACACAAAAGACTTGGATGTCTTTCGGATACCCATCCTCTCGGCTTTTATATGGTGGTGATCTCGATGGATGGAGTCAGTGCGTTCTCGAAGCTGCCGTGATATCGAGCATTTTCCAAAGCTAGCAGATCCCACCATCGCCAGAGTGCAAGACACCCAGCAATCAGGTGTGCAAAACACAAAAAACGATGCTGCTTTATCGTGCACCGCCAAAAAGACAAAACAAAGGCTGTTCCACCCACCAGGAAAGACATGATTAAGACATTTAATAGAAATTGAACGGTTCCAAGCTCATTAGTCATTTCATCCTTTATCTTCTCATCTAGTTCTCCTCCGGTCTTCAGAACCGAAACCGAGGCCCTGGAGGCGCAGAAGCGCGCCGCGCTCCTGGCCGTGTCGCCCATTTGCGCCCTGATCCCCGCGGCCGTGCTGACGCTCGTGGCGGTCGGGGACCGTGGTCGAAAACGACAGGGGACACCGGAACGACGGGTGGACGTTCCGGATAGGAGGTTCCTAGTAGCTTCTTGCTCCGATGCCAGGAGCGCCGTTCGTAGCGTCCGATCGCTCCTAGTAGGCCAGGAGCCCCGTTCATAGCTTCTTGTTCCTAGAGTTGGTTGGTGGGAATTCTCAAAAAGGGTAGAGTACGCACATTTCGGATATTTTCTTCAAGACACCCCATGGGCTGATGATTGTCGTGAGTCTGCAAGTCTGCAAGTCTTTTGGAGATGTCTTTCTTTTCAAAATTAGTGAGGAAAACTGGGCCATCGGAAGTGCAAGGAAAGCCCTCGCAAAGGGATTTCTATTTTCACGGTGAGCTCGTGTGCTCGTGTCGCATTTCCTGAAATGGTCTTCAGATTCTCCAGCCTTGGTGGAGCACCCTGCAAAACGCTCGGAACCCTGGACTACTGCGGACACCTGGGAGGCTGCTGGAGGGGCCTCTGCAGTCGGAAGAAACAGTCATATTCCCAGGGCAAGAACATGTTCACGGTCAATGCAGATTGGTTCGATGCCCCTGGCTCTGGCAACGTTTGTGTCGTCGCAAGGTAGTGGATCAAAACAACACATTTTCAACATGTTCGTGACAAGTAGCAGTCAATATTCTAGCAGAATGGCGCTGCCTAGAAAAGAGACATTGTTTTTTTGGAAGAATGTGGAACTATCTCCGTGAATGAAAAAGAATCACCTGGACAAACAGGTGCCCTAATTCCTAAGATCATAACAACGGATTCTCCTATCTCCCTCGAGCTAGAGATTTGTCCACGTCCCTAAGATGGTCCACATACTAAGGCCCGAAGAGGTTCTCAAATTGTTTGACTGGTTGGGCTTCCACTCCAAAGGTATTTGAGCCATCTTGAGCCTTTGAGTCCCAATCATAAATCCCAGCCCCAGCCATTCGGGACCCCGGTCACACGAAAACACAAAGCAGGCTTTTTGGACGGTTCCTACATTATATATATATATATATAGGTGGCTTTCTTTCTTGTGTTCATTTTCATTCTGGTCACTGGTCACTAGGCCTTTTTCCGTTTACTTAATGGTGACAAGCGCGACCTTGTACTTCAGGTGCAACTAGGGGCAACCAACCGTCGCTGTAGTCAAAGACATGTGACATATTACAGTGCTCAAAGTGGATGAAACGGCCGTCAAATGCTCACTGGCAGAAGTGCAACAATAGACCCAGTCATGCAACCTTTTAAGGCATGCGTCTTTTGTTGCATGACTGACACACTCCCGAACACGTCGCGCATCCCGCTTCGAGGTCACCTACTACCCCACCAACGTCACCCAAATCACTGTGACGTCCGGGGCCTCGGAGCCCGGGTGCATCGGAGACTGAACGCTGGGGGCTGTTGGAGCTCATCCGACGTCGGTCGCTGAACGAAAGGAAAGGAAAGCCTTGTTACTAGTAGCTTCTTGTTACTAGTGGTAAGGCCAGGAACTACTAGGAGCTTCTTGCCCCTATATAGGCCCCTAGTAGCGATGCCCTTTGTTCCTAGTAGCTTCTCAGCACAGACACGGACGGTATGAATGGGCAATGACACTAGCAATGACACATCATCATTGACTATTTGCCAGGCATTTTTTTTCCTTTACTACACTTTTGTTGCTTTTGCAGTTCACAAAGGACAGACCTTTAAGTTCAGCAGTTGAAACGATAGAAACACCTCAGGGTTCTGTTGTGGATTCCGTGACTTCCGAGAAGAAACACATCCAGCTGTTTGTTGTCTTTACAATTCTACTCAGAGGACAAGTGGACCAACTTTCAGAGTTCCAAGCTTCAAGCGCTCAGATTCCTCAGAACTTCTTGGGCCAAGCAAAGATGGAAACTGCACATGACCACAACATGTTTTTTCTTTGTTTTCGGGTATCTCCCATACAGTTTTTTTTTTGTTTTTTTCCTGACACTCGACACTGAGCCTATCTCTGCGGTCGTCCTTTGTTATTTTTTTGTTTCTCGGTTTTTCCGCCCACGGTTTGCGCCAGGATCAGTTCCGAGATCTCGCTGTGGGGCCACCATGGCTGCCGTTTAAATGAGACTTGGTGGGGCCCCCGACTTGGCGCGATGGGAGACGTCCGACGGGGGGAGACGGCATTCTTCGTCGGACGCCGACTGAGAAGGACAAAGGCGAGGGCAGCCAATGGTTGTTCTTGTTGGGTGGTGAGAAATGAAATGAAGCCATCCGAGTGAAGCAGTGTTGTTTCGAAGTGCAATGAAGTGGGAGTGAAAAAAGTATTCCACCGCTTCGCGGTCGAAGCCGCCACAGAGACTGTGGGGTCTGTCTCGGTCTGTCTCGGTCCTTCCGTCCGGTCCGGTCTGTCACGGTCGGTCTCCACAGAGGCGAGCATACAGGATGTCAATAGTGCAGTCTCACTCGGTCAGAACCACCGACATCACCGATGCCCTGCCGTCCGATTTCCAAAAGTGTCAAAGCCACGAGCAAAACGGTCGAGCAAAAAGCCAAAGGCTTAAGCTATGCTATCTAGCAACTCTAGCGGAGTACGCGAACCGACACAACGCCTCAGCACTTGCGGTGCGGGTGGATTTCCCTCCTGCAGAGGACCACAGGTTTGGGTATTAGGAAAATCGTCGAAGCCACGGGCCAAATGTTCAGGGTCCAGTTTGCTTGCGTTATAGATCAGCCCACATGGCTCTGACTTCCCGGAGTCAGGTGAAATGCATTTCACCATGCTCAGATTCTACAAGTTCACGAGACTTTCAACGTTTGAAGGACGGACATGTCCGAAGGATCTCGAATCTGAACTGGAACTTCTCCAGATAGCGCAAGGAATTTTCCGGTGCGCACCCTACCAAAACGACTTCTCTCGCGTCAACCGGATTCACATCTTCCTCTGGGCCCAGGGCTGACATTTGTGCCTTGCCTCCTGCGGATTGTGTATACCCACCACCACCGCCGCCGGGCTATGTGCCGTTGGACACTCAGCGAAGGGGTGTAGTCCTGACTGAAGACCTTTGACAATTTTTTTGATGGAACACAACGGGGTCAAACATGCACGACATCCACTGCTTAGGTGGAACAACTCCTTTCCTGCCAGGGCCAGTTCTTTGAACACAAACGATCTCTGACCATCTCATACAAAGTCCATATCTATCTATGTCTATATACTCAGAACTTGAAGTCCGATTTCATTTTATTATGACATGACTTGGCCATCGCACGAATAGGTCGACTCCTTAGGATTGGAGAAAGAACTCCAGGTTTCACAATTCTCCCTCCTCTGAACCCAACCATTTCTTGAAGGATTGGGTTTCTTTTCAGGCCAGAGGAGTGATATATTTCTTGCCAGAAGTCCTCATCTTATCCGCCCCGCAGATGTCCTCATTTTTGCTGTCCCAGGCCGTGGACTCCACCGCCCTTGGAAGAAGACACCACGGAGTGGCGACAGCAGGTCCGGCCACGAACACGCCTGCACGATGACCGGAGTTCCGACGAACGCCTCCAAATGGATGACGGAGGGCCATTTTCAATCCGAGACCAAACATGTAACAGGTGGTGTCTTTTTTTTCCACGCTGGACAGCCTCGTAGGTGCACGTTGGGCAGTATCCTCTGGCAGTTTCTTTGGATGAAACTCTTTGGGTCAGGGTCAGCAGGTCATGAGTCGGTCTGGAGGTGGGCTTTGGGCGGCACTGCCGAGACATGCGCAACCTTGTTCTCAACCAAAAACAGAGGAAGGCGTAACTTCTGTCTTGTGTTTACATCAAAACTCACCAGCAAGTGCAAGACATCAAAGTGTTGATGCCATCGCTATTAGGTTGGAGGCCATTACTGGTAGCAAGAAGCTATCCCCAGAAGCACCCGGCGTCCGAATTTCTCTGACTCGACGGACACACTCGAACCGAGACTCTTGCAGGTCGTGACTGGCCCTCCCAACGTTCGCATCACCACCACCGTGGATGTGCTGCCCTCAAGCGGCTGAACGCGACCGAAGAGGGTGTGCCTTAGGCTTGGCTACCAGACTCTGTGTCTCGGATGTTGAATGATAAAGATCCCAAAGCATACTTTTCTAGGAATCCACATATCTCTGCCTATTGCAGAAAACATCAAACAAAACATGATCCCAGCCCCAGCACCACCCATTTTGGGTCACACACACGCATATCTCCCATTTGGGGGTCAAAACCGTCACCCCCTGCAGGGGTGCTGTGCTCGAAACCTCACCCGGCCTGAGGATCGGCCCTTTCGCTGCGTCTCGGGCAGTTGCGCCGGGCCTGGGGCCACCACGACGCCGGTGCCGTCCAACTACCAGGCGCGTGGGCCGCCGTGGGCCGCCGTGGGCTGGGTGCGACATGCGTGGCGTTTAGGGTGGCGGGCCACTAGGGCAGCCGGAGCCTCTCAGAACAGGAGCAGGGGCGAAGGGTGAAGTGACAAACCATCGGCTGTGGAAGTAGTGCTGCTTGGTTGAAGAGCGCAATCTTTTTCCAATCTCTCTGTGGCAGTGAGAAGGACACACCATGGAGTGTACTGTAAGTTGCAGAGACCACAGGAAGTTTTCTTGTGCCTTTTTTGAAGAGCGAGGAGAAGAAAAGTCAAGGTTTCTGCCCAGGCTTTGGAGGCTGTGTCCATTTTTTGGGGCTTTTGCCGTTCTTGTTATGTTTCTGACGGGGTGTTGATGTCACAGTTTGAGACATCATTTTCTGAAACCAATCGGTGACCCTCCACTGGAGCATTTGATCATATTTGATCACTTCATGGCCTCCCTTCACCAGGCGCCTGCCTACGCGGGGGCGGGCAACGTGGCCTTTGGCGACGGACAAGCGCGACTGGGTGACGAGGCGAAGATCGGTACTGAGCTCGATGTGTGGTGCGGTATGGAACCGATGCCAAGAAAAGCGTTTCCTAGTAAGGCCAGGAGCTAGCGTCCTTGCTCCGTTCGTAGCGTCCTGAAAGCACTTGAAAGCATTTGCCCCAATTGTTTATCACCCGGCGGTTTTGGAACCACCGGTGGGTAGTTGTAGTGCAGGGAGAATCTGATTGGTGGGTAGTTGGATACAGCTGAACTGGTTGAGTGAGCCAGCTTATGAGTTATGAGCCTTGGAGAATGCTTGTAAACAACATCTAGAGTTCATGTCACTATAACTAACGACATTTGACGCTTGTTGAGGGAAACATTGGAAGAAGTAACATCTCAAACCTTGAGTCATAAAGGATTTCCGCTTTTTTTCTTCACTTTTGACTTAGGCTCCGTTCTCTGAGGAAAACACCATCCGGTTCTTCGAGTGTCCTGCCTGCTTCAAGGTGGTCTCCTCCAACGAAGATGCCTTTCGCATCCCACCGACGCCGGCACCACCGCCCACCACCACGCCTCCCCCTACCTTCAAGCCCGAGGCGTGGAACGGGGCGCGTGAGCCAGGTGGTTTTTTCGGATCCAGCTTGCAATCTTAGGCTTCTAAACTCTATTTTTCATGTGGGGAAGGAAGGATGAAGATGGGAGCAGATGCTGCTTGCTATTTCTCGTTCAGTTCTCCTTCACGCCTTGAGCGACTCTCTCACAATGGGGCTAGCGTGAGTAGTACAAGTTGGTACCTCAAAAATTATTGTAGAAGTAGGTTGATGTTTTGGTGGTTCAATGAGCTTCAAGTGGTTCCTGCTTCAGGAGGATCATGCCACAGGTTGGTGAATTCCAACAGCCACTATCCAGTTAATGCCTCCATAGAAGTAAGCACTCACTCACGGTCGTTGAGAGCTAGGCACCAATACCAATTGACGAGCATAGTAGCTAGAAGCTACTAGGTTGGAGGCCATCGCTAGTAGGTGGGAGGCCATACTATTATACTACTAGTAGACTAGTAGCTAGAAGCTACTAGTAACAAGGGCATTACTGTACTACTATGCTTGAATGTGCTTGCACGATGCCGTTCTTCTCCAGGCTCACCGAAAAACACCACGTCCCTGATGCCTAAGCCGGCTCAAGCCGGCTCGTGAACTCGTGGCGCCTGTCTCAGGTGGGTTATGTGAACCCCATCGTCCTGGCGACCAATCCGCCCACCACCACCTGGGCTCCCAGCGGCATCTTCGCAGGCGAGGACGGAGGAATGCGCCGCGCGGAGGGCGTTCCCCGCGGTTCGGTGGCGGGTGGTGCGGGGTGCGGGGTTCGCTGGGCGGGTGTTCAGATGGATCCTGAAAAGTCCAATGTGCGATGTTTCTGGGTGTTCATATAAATGACATGTACAGGCAGGTGTAGAAAGATGAACTTCTGAGGCACCATGAAGATGTAGTAGGGATTCCACTTGATGTAGGAAATATGAAGCTCTTTGCTTTTGAAAGATGTGTTTGTGTCTGGCGACCATGTTTCTCCAACAACTTTTGCGGAAAACAGGGTTCAGGAACAGGAGGCGAGGAAAACACGTGTGGCAATGCCTCTTCAAATTCCTGGAAAAAGCTGCGACTTTTCAGTGCAGCTCCATCCACCTCCCTGGAGCACTCTTTTTGCGCCTCCAGGCCTCTGGAAGCAGACAGGTGCGGGGAAATTGGACGGGAAGAACACGTGAGACTGACCTAGCACCACTAGGGGAAAAGTAGCAGAGGAAACTCCATTTTGTGGTCCTTTGTGGCTCAATGTGTGTGTCCTTGCGTGTGTCACTCCACCAATTGCAAAGCCTTGCATGTGGCACTGCACTGCAAAGTGTGCCCCTCTCCATCTTTATCCCTAATGAATCAAACGAATATGCCTAAGCTTTTGGCCTCGAGTGACTGTTGCAATGCCGTCTTTGCGAACCGTTTTGTCGCTATCGACGCAGCGCAACAAAACCGAACGAAACCGAACGCCCACGGAGCTCCGGAACGGACTCGCTGCGCCGAGAGTCCTAGACGGTCGACTCACCCGCAACGCGGGTCCGACCTTCGGGTGTCGTGTCACCCATTTTCGCACGGAGGTAGTCTCCCCGATTTTCACCACCTCGATCCAAATATGGGGGGTTGATGAATCAAGATCCCACATGACTGAACTTCATCTGGTGTTCTCATCTGCGACCCAAAGCGGTTGAAAAACAGATCGCGTTCCGGGCTTCGTTGCGAGTTGCGAGCGGCTTCTCGGCTAAAATCAGGGAGTGGCTCGCAAGATTCCTTGCCTGGAACGCTGGAAACAGCTGGGAGCTCAGAGGATGGGAGCGCCTTCTGATATATTTTTTTGCGGTGAACTGAAACTCAATTTGAGCTAACTATATAGATTTGTTGTTTCCTTACTTTTCTATTATTTATAACTAACAGTCCTTATCTCCTTGAAGTCTTTGACTGGATTGGTGCCCCTCAAGTTGAGTTGCACCAGCTCCAAAAACTTCTTCCCGACCTTACAAAGAAAGCACGTATTTCCGGGTCAAGAGAAAACCCATGCTTGACTGCATCTTCTTTTCGGCCAGGCCCCAGCCTTGGGGCCACCCGTCGCAACACCCGCACCGCCTGAGAACCAGAACCCCGACGTCGGCTCAGAGCGCTTGAGTGGTTCTCGATCCTTTCCAGGCGACCGCCGTGGGGGTGGGGCACCGATTGGCGTGGGTCATCGAGTTGTTTCAGTGAACTGGTGAAGTGTCAGATCTATCTTCCAAAGAAGCTTGATACTTCAAGATTCAATATGAAATGCCTTCAAGTCTCAGACTTCAAATCTATGGGCTTGGAGGGTGCGCTGGGAGTACGCCCGTTTCAAAAGACCCTCTGGGACTTGACGCAGGCACTGGGATGGCTGTCGAGAAGTGCCCACCCTATGAGCAGCAATACTGGGACCCGCTTCTTGGTGCAGATCAAGAGCTTCCAAGAAAAAGCACAGTCCTACAGAGGTTGGATGAAGTCCCACGGAGTTGGATGACAAATTACATCAAATCACCCACATCCTTTTTTTCCCCTTCTGAAGACAACCCTCCATCAATTGGCTGAGGTTATCTCCTCCCGCGGGTGCCTTCATTTGCAGCTTGTATGCCACGTGTGGCAAGGCACAAAACACATGGAAACAGCCACTGCTGAAAGCTGGTTATTATGTCCTTCTGCCAGGCCTAGGCCTAGGTCTTTCTGTTTTGTTTGGTTTCCGGAATGCTTTGTGCAAAACGCAGACTTGAGACGTGCAGCAGAAAGTCAGCAGAAACACTCCAGTCGTAGGTCCTCATGACCCTCTATTTCATGTGGCACTTGTTGAACCAGACCAGATCGGTGGCCAGGTTTTTGATGGGTTTCTTTGGTGGGTTTCTGGGTTTCTGAACCCTCGCAAAGACACTAGCTCGACATCTGGGTGTGTACTTGATATAGGGAGACACCTAACCAATGGGTAGACTGGTCTATTCTTTTTCCTTCTTCGAAGGAGTCGAACTGGGAGGTCTCCCTATTTATTACTTTAATACATACCCATCTTGATGGATGTTTACTTCTTTTAGACTCTGTGGATGTTTGCGACACCCACTCCGCAGATGAATCCCATTCTGGGCTTCCTCTTCGTGGCTGAAGGCGGGAGGGGGATCGGATGGGATGGGATTCTCTCCAGGGGGCATGGTGGTTTGTTTGTTTGTTTGCTTGCTTGCTTGCTTGGTTGGTTGGTTGGTTGGCTTGCTTGCTTGCCTGCCTGCCTGCCTGGCTGGCTGGCTGGCTGGCTTGGTTGGTTGGTTGGTTGGTTGGCTTCTTGTGTAAAACTACAGCGTAGCGCACCTGTTGTTTAACAAGTGTTGTGAAGCAGCTTAGTGTTGACTCTCTGTTTCTCTGTAGCGCGCCTGGGAAATGGCTTAAGGCCTTGTTGGGCAAGAAGAGAAGGTACAAGTAAGTGTTGCTGATTCTTAACACACCCATCGGCTGTTGCGTCTGTTTGACTTTGCAGCCGTCACGAAAACATGATCAAACATGTTGAAAGAACTGTTGACTTAGTCATGCATGTTGCTGTCTGGCCTCTGTACCAGTTGACGAAGGCTTGTTGATCTTTATACACCTGTTGCAAACCACAGGTGTTGGCCATTGGTATGCTGAATTCTGCCCGCTCAGTGCTGTTGCAGCAACAGCTCTGTTGTAGTGGTCAGGGTGTTCTCTGAGCTCCACCCGCTGTTGGTGGCCCCGCGTACTCCACAGGGATGTTGACAATCTTTCCACTATCAAGGCGAACTGTAACAGTGTCGCCGCTCGGCTGTTAGATATCTTCCATGTTGACATCCATTGTTGGAGTTGGAGGGTGTTGTTCACGGCGCCAGGTGTCGACTTCCTCGGCATAGGTGTTGAACTGCGTTGTTGCCCTTCAAACTTCACATCCATAGTGTTGAACTTCATCTTGCTGGTCTTGCTGTTGAGGCTCACCAAGATCCTCCCTGCATTTTGCCACTCATTGCTTGGCAACTTTGAGAGTACCTGTGTTCCGCTGCACTCCATGCATTGGACGAAGAGCCTGAGCTTGTTGAGGTCAATGATCTTGATGTTTCCAATCTTGATGGGCAAGCTGTAGCTCCACACAGTTCCCGTTATCCAGGTGTTGAGAAGGTGCACCTGGTCAAACACGTTGCTGATTCCTGTTGCGGAACTCAATGTCCAGACCTTCTGTGTTGCAACCTCATTGTTGAGCCTGAGAAAGTGATGCAGTTGCACTTGCATCTGAGGGTTGATGTAGCCCCGGGCGAACATGTCAGATGCTGTTGAGGCTAAGGCGAAATGCATCTTGCATTTTGTTGAGCTCCAATGCCAGGAGGTACCATGTGTTGCCATCTTCTGTTGTTGCCACATGGTGTTCACTGATGTGGTACACCAATGTGTACAAGGCGTTCACTGGGGTGATGTTGAGAATCACCTTGTCGAAGAAAGGCATCCGGAGTTGTCCTACAATTGTTGGAATCCGGTAGTACATATATATATATGTTTGGCTTTGTTGTGCTACGTTGAAGTCCAAGTTGTTGCAGGACTTCTGCCAAGTGTGTTTGCCATGCTTTTGGGCTGCTGCATAGTCCGTAGATTGCTCTGCGGAGTTTCCATATCACTCCATCTCGTGGTCTGTAAAACTCACGAGGAGGATACATGTAGAGATCTGTTGCTGCTGCTGCTGCTGCTGCGGCTGCTGCTGCATGTAGGAACGCCGTGGATATGTCGCCTGTTCCGACAATCCAGTTGTTGTTGCAGCTGAGTGTTAGTAGCACTCTCAACACACAAAAGAATGGTGTTGATGCATAGATCTCGTCAAGATCTGTTACCGTTTCAGTGTAGCCTTTTGCCACGATGCGTGCTCTCACAATGTTGCCTTTGTCTCGCAACACCCAACGTGATTGGATGATGTTGCGACGTTGCTCTGGTGTGAGTGAGTCGATGTCTACTTCTATGTAGACCTATTGTGTTTTCATTGACCCTCGTGTTTCATGCCTTCCGTTTGTCTTCCGTTTGTCTAGGCCTTCTGTGGATGGTCTTCGCATGAGCATGCTGTTATCTCATCTCTGCACCTTGCGAAGACCTTTGTGACCTTTGTGACCCGAAGCCGAACGTCTTGTTGGGTTGCTCTGGTACTGCTTCGGGTCGTGTTGGTCCTGTCGTTGTGTCAGAGCACTGCCTTCTGGTATGTCGTCAGGTACTGTTTGCTTTGATGATGATGGAAGTGGTGTTCTGGTGTGATGGCTCGTTGGTGAGGTAGCCATCGGTGAATCCATCAACGTTGGTTTCCCCAAACTCGCACAGTGGTGTTTTGTGCTAATTTTCCATCACCTGTAGTAGCTGGTGTTGCCATCTGAGTGAACAGCAAATCTGTTGAGTAGGTAGACTGTGTGTCTTACACACCATGGCATGAGAGGATGTTGACTGGTGATGTATGGTAAGCCATAGTTTTGTTGTATGTGGGCCATAGTGTGCCCCGCTCGAACTCGAACTCGAACTCGAACTGAAACAGTTATACAGTATTGATGAACTTAACCTTGAAAGGATATATATGGAAGGAACCGAACTCGAACTCGAACTCGAACTCGATCTCGAACTCGATCTCGAACTCGAACTGGAACTGTTAGAAGTCAACCCAGTGGACGAATAGAAAGAGTCGAACTCCAAAATCGCTGTCGTCGATTCGAATTCGAATTCGAACTCGAACTCGAACTGGTCCCCCCCCGGTGTCAAAATTGTCGTCGATTCGAAATTTGATCTCGAACTCGAACTGCGTTTCCCCCCCTCCGGGCGTCAAAATTGTTGTCGATTGGAATTCGAACTCAAACTCGAACTAGTTCCCCCCCCCGGAATGAAAAAATTATCGTCGATTCGAAGTCGAATTCGA